TACTACCTACTAGGCCATGCTTGGGCCTCATTTGTATAACACTTGTATAATATGACATTAAAGCCTGAGACACATGAACCCCCAGTCAGATATACTACCTACTAGGCCATGCTTGGGCCTCATTTGTATAACACTTGTATAATATGACATTAAAGCCTGAGACACATGAACCCCCAGTCAGATATACTACCTACTAGGCCATGCTTGGGCCCCATTTGTATAACACCTGTTAACTAGTTTCCAGATACATGAAATTGAATATTCTAGAAACATTTTCAATTGCTGTCGAGGCTATGAATTTTTACCATAACTAAAAATACTCTATTTATAAAATAAAAAATACAATTAACAGGACCAAGCAACTGGATTTATTACTCAAGTACAACTTATCTTACATACATAAACTTATTCTTTAGCAGCAGCAGCTAACAAGTTTATTTTTCCTATCTGTTTACTTTCAACTTGCTAATTTAATTTTAATCTTTATAAAAAGATGAACAACATTTAATGGAATGGTTAAAACCAATGTAATGAAAGACAGAAAAACATGGTCAACATTTCTGTTATACACTGGTACATATCACTCAATCCGAGTTATAAAATACGAAAAATATTATAAATAAAAAGGCTTTAACAAAAATAAAGTTTGACAGCATGATGAAACTACTTCTATGAATTTAAATTACAATGTGGCCTTAAATAAAACTTACCAACATAGTATGGAGTGTAACAAGGCGTCTGAAGGGAGTTAATGTTTGTTGTTTCTTTAGCAAAACCAAAGTCTGTTAGTTTTAGTACTGCATTTGGATCAGTAGAAGAGTATAAAAGGTTCTCTGGCTAATGAAAATAAATCATGTCCAAACATTAGTTTACTCACTTTATAAAAAAACTTACATATTAAACTCTACTCTATTTTTTATATTACAATTCTCTCTCTCTTTTTTTTTTTCTATAAAATAAGTATTTTCATTTATGAACAGCCTGGTAGTAATTGGTGGAACTAACTCACCTTGTACATTTATCAATGTTCCTTCAGCACACAATAAACCTTTTAAAAAATTGTTTTCACTTTAGTAACTTAAGATCTTTTTCACTGTAATTACTCAGCTTTGAATACACCTATTTTAGATAGTACGTGTATAAACATCCAGACATCAAGTTGGTCTCAACATCATAGTTCTTTTAAACATTTACTGAAATTGTGAAGGAAGTAGTTTCATGTGTTTTCACTGACATTTTACATTCAAGGATCATGATTCACCTCCTCATAAATATGGCATCAATGTGCTTGCCATTATGAAAATTTGTTTATACACTTGATGAATTAAAAAAAATAAAAGAAAGAGCTCTGATGGTACTTTAGTAAAGTTTACAATATACTTTTTTGAAATCTATAAAGTAAAACCAACTAAGATTGAAATTTAAGATCAGGTCTACGTACAGCTAAAAAACAGCATTGTCACGTACAGAGCACAGATTTTAGAAACTGTTTCATGTTAATGGTCAAGTTTACTTTGTCTTATGCAATACAAAAAATTTAAATTTATATAGGCCATTTACTTGTTTATACTGGTCTAAGAATTTTCATACAAGTACAAAAAAGGTGCTCAAATGTATAAAATTCTCTAACTGATAACAGGTATGGAATAAATATCCAAGTAATAATTTGTTGAAAACATGGTTCAAGGAATTAGTTGTATATGCTTTAGTTCAGCAAAGGTTCTGTTGAAATAAAATGTTTACAAAAGCTGTACTTTACAAGAATAAAATGAAATGTAAATGGTATAGTCACAAAACCAACCAACAAGTCAAAAAATATAAAATTAATATTAAATAGAACTTTCATCTTGTACCTTCAAACATTAATAAGAAAAGTATGACACGTGGACATCTATAAATGGGAAAGACACTGTTTCAGAACAATATTTAAGATTTATCTTGTTAACTGTAAGAGTTTTAATAATGATTAAAAAAAAAAGCATTCAGTTTCCACTAAGCTGCATTAGTGAACTTTTACTGACCTATAGTATACAGATTACTATATATTACTCTCCTTTTGTTATCTGCAAAATTTAAACATTTTTCTAAGTTCTAGTTTGAAACATTCTAAATCCAGATGAAGCCATGTGTTCAATCTAGCTTGAGGAGTTACTTATTGTAAAGTACCTTAAATCTTTTCAATCAACACGAGACATGTTTTTGATGTTTCAAAAAAAATCACAAATTTAAACAAAATAACCTACTAGTTTTTCCTTTGCTGTTTATAACGTCCAATAAAAAATATTTTAATTAAAATAACTGGTTCAGATGAGCAAATCATTCCAAAGCACTATTCATAAAATTACATGCTTATTCAACAGTATAGTATGTAACTAGTGTAGCATAGTTATAAACACTAATAGATATAATCTATGTAATCGTAAGTATGACATAAGTATGTACACTTCTGTACTGATCAAAACTCACATATAACAATGACAGTTGAAACACTCAAACTGTCAAACAAAAAATTGTCACCATTCTCAAAATGTTCTTACAAAAATAAACATGTGCAAATCTCACTGAATTACAAACACATTAATAGAATTCTCCTCTTAGTATATCATGAAGGTTCCAGAAGAAATTTTACAGGAGTTACCACTTTATTAAAGTCTAAAAACATGGAGATATTTCACACTCTTACTGTCATTTTGTTTTGTAATTCTATAAAAGTAATCTTTCTTCTCTTATAGACTCAGCTAGTAATTAGAAGTTTTTTTTCCACACAATGTTATTGGTGAACATACTTAATTGGGACTTCTCTAAAGTACAATACCTTTAGATCTCTGTGAGCTATGTTCATTCTGTGGAGGTGCATAATAGCTTCACAGATTTCTTTCATGATTTCTGCTGCTTCTGTGTGAGTAAGAGAGAGGAATAAAGAAACTCAAGCATTACATATTTATACTTGCAGGTGTACATACATTCAACAGCAACACAGATATGAAAAAAGTATCAGCTATTTTTATACATGGAAAAATAAAGTTCACCATAATTTAAAGCTAGATATAATATGATTGAGCAAATTAATCTTGATTATTCAAAATCAAAAGGGCACCATACTATTGTAACATTCAGTGTAGAATATCAACATCTTACTATAATGAAATGGCATATATCTATGTATGTGACCAAAAATAGTGTGGCGCCATCTATTAAATGGCAACACAAATAAAAATCCATCAAAATATTTTCAGCTTTGGGTATTCAAGATTCAATTAGAAAACTAATTGTGCAACAAACATTTCTTTATCACAGACCACAATTTTAAATAAAAGTATTCTCCTCACAACAAGAACACGGCACTTACTAGGGCTGTACTTGAGGGTTTGGTTATATCTTTATTGATGTAATTTGTAAATACAGTACTAAAAATGGAGTTCTTATAAAACATTTAAGTTTATATCAGAACAATCCAAACACTTTCCCATGCAGTACTTCTGAGAAAAATCTTTTTTTTTTAGAAAATGTTAATTTTCTTCTAAATTCTTTCCAATGAGATACAAATACTACCATTTGTAATTACTAGCACAAACAGCCAGGTGTAGAGCAGCATTTCTGCTACAATAGAGAATTGGCAAGTTTATTTAAGTTTTTTGTTTTGTTTTTTTACACTGTTTCTATTGATTATTTTTATATTATTTGTGGTGCACGAGTGCTGTTTACCAATCTTGCTTCTGATGTAGTTCTTTAATAATAATAATAATAAAATAAAAGCATTTAGCTAAAGGATATTATTGAATTAATATTAACATGTAGTATGCAAATACTACATCACTTACTCTTCTGTAATACATATTTCTTATTTATGCACTTTTTAAAATGTTTCAATTTTACATTTGGAAAATTCCAAGTCCAGTAAATGTCATGTTTCAAACTAAGTCTGAGGTATTACTTTTCATATCTTTATCAGTTAATTAACTTATTTACTGTTTCATGGGATAGTTGCACTGTGTCCAATTTGACCTTGTATATGTGGGGTGGGGATACTTGGTGATTGTCACATGAAGCAGATATATTTCTATACCATGGAGCCCCTTTTCTCACTGGTCAGCTACGGGAAGAATGTACATTGTTAAAGTAGTTTTGGTGCTTTCATGTCACTTATTTCTCTGATTTTGTACATCTAAAGCTTGCTTTAAAAGTCCTGTCTCTCCTTAAACAATATAATACCAGCTGTTTGTTCACACACTGTTTCTCTTTAATACAGCCACAAAGTCAAAATTATTTTTTTTTTACTCCTCACTTTCAGTTTTGATTCTTGAGGACCAAGGATTCTGAACAATGTTTACCTTATTTTCATCCCATCAATACCAAGATCATGGACAAAACTCTACAATATTAAAACAATATAATACCTCTTTAATACAGCCACAATATCATATCCTCTCTTTAGTTTTACCAGTAACAAATCATTAAGTCTGTCTTTCTACACATAGATACACATACCTCTGGTTTTTAAAAAGATTGGGTAAATATGAGCTAGATTTATCCAAATTACCACTGAAGTGTATAAAGATTGAATGAGGTTGTCTCACAACCTAATTCATTGATTCCTAAGGACCAAACATTCTCAACAATGTTTACCTTATTTTTCATTGTATTATCAGCCCACCAATACCAAAATCATGGAAAAAAACTGATAACCTGTATTAAAACTACTCGGTCAAAACCCCAGATTTCCCATACTGGTCCCTATAACATATATACATGTACTTCATAGTCATATATTTCTGTTCCTATTAACAATGCATATAATTCAGGTAATATTCTACTCAAGAAATATAATTTTTTTTAGGATAAAACTGAACCTGGTTTACATACTGCCAAGAATTTTTGGACTTTTGTAAATGGTTGTAATGTTTTGTTCTTTACTTTGTCATGTAATAGTCTGATGAAACTTGAAAAGATTATTATGTGACACACTGGATAAATAGCCATGTCAGAAATCCTACAGTTCAGGCAGTCATAATTAACTAGAGCTTCTGACCAGAGAAAGACATTCAGTCAGTAGCATTTGCCCTCATATTGTTACTCTTAGTTAAACAGAATCATAGCTATAAATGAAGAGTGTATAACAGAGGTGGGGAAACTATGGCCTGCAGATCACATCCAGTTTGTTGCACAATGTAATCTGGCCTGCAAAACTAACCAGAATATTATGTCTATTCAGCCCCCACCAATAACAGGGGTTTCTTTATAATGTCAAGGATTAAGAAATTGGTGAGGTGTTATTTTATTTTATTACTTGTTAATACAAATTTAAGATACTTCATGATAACCATGTCCAAATATTTTTCCACATCAAATTCATCTAGAGTATTCCCTGTAAGGCCATAAGAAATTAGTGTATGATAATCAAGCATAACTTTAGATTACAATAGATCAAGGTGTAAGTCTAGCTCATTAAAGATTCCAGAGCTCTCTCAAAACTCTAGCATCTTTAATACAATATGAAATACCCATCAATTTTCATCTCACAGTTTGTTAGTCTTTGCTTAATCAACAAGTACATTTTGGACCATTAATCTTATCTTCTCTTTCAATCTGGTATTTGAAGTATTTTTTTTTAATGATATTTACATATTTGTATTTACACAACAGCTTTTATTTGTTATGCAAATTTCTTACATAAACTTCTACTCTTTTTCACATTGTGCTATTTACAAATTCTTACAGCATTTTCAACAGCTGTATAATCCTGTTATGTAACTTACATAAAAATAATGTACACATAAAACATAGAAGGTACTGACCACTATAACTTGATTAATAGTTTTTTATTATTATTGTTATTTACCTTCTGATATGCAATGAAAAGATTAAAAACAAAAATCCGAAAAGTATCTACTTAACTCTGTAATAAGTATAGTTAGGTCTAAAAACTAACAGAATAGACCAAGTAGTAGTTTGGTATCTGACTGTCTAACAAGAAGCTTGGAAACAAATAAAAATTACCTTGATTTCCAATCAGCATCAATATAAAAAGTGATTTTGGCTGGATTATATTTCAATTTTTAATATATATAAATTTATGTTTTCTCATCATTTAGTGAAAATGCTGTTGATAATTTTTTAGAGAAGACAAAATTGCCTGAAAAAGGATTTACAAAGATAAAAAATTTTCCATACTAGATGAGAAATATTTCAGTGTTTAAATTTAAAATTATCACTGGAAACATATCTTAATTTTATATCCTAGTATTTTATAAAGTCTCAGAATTTGTTGGACAGGTTATTTACAAAACTTGACCTCTAGATAACAGAAGGGCACAAAGCAGAAAAGAGTGAGTACACCATAGAAGGGTCTACCTGAAACTAAAAATAACCCACAAAAAGGGGAAAAAACAAAAAAACCTGCTTGTCATATGTGTATTTTAGCAAACCTATACTCCAAACACATCACAGTACAGAGAGTTGATGTGTTTTAACCATTTCTATTTAAACACATGCATATATATATATATATATTTCATTTAAAATAATGTTGGACCAATATATAACTTTCTAGAAATAAAGTACAGTACAGCAGTTTTTCTTATTTTTTATGTAAACCAAATACACATAAATAATATAATAAATGATTTTCCACGTATTTTGGAGACAAGAATTAGCACGAGCATCAGTTTTATTTTTTATGGTGTTAAATATGTAACTTCACATATTATTCTGATACAGCCGTATCTTATAAACATTCTAGAAAGGCAATTCAGGAATCTCAACTTCTTGGTTTGGTGTCGGTATGTTTCTCTACACCAATGTTTCCCAAAATGGGGGGGGCCATCTCTCTCTCTCTCAGGGGCCACCAAATAAGGGCCAAAAACAAACAATACTCCAATAAAAATTATGTTGAATTAATTAAATTATAGGATTGCTTCATATTTTAAAACGAAAATAAAATAACCTTACATAAAATAAAGTGTGTGTTTAATTGCTCATCATTTTACAAATTTAACCCAAACATAATAAACTGCTAATGGTTAATTATAATACATATAAATTGATAAGAAAAGGCCACATTAAATTACAAACATACAATTTAATAGAAAAAGTACTTCACAGATATCATTAAAGTTCATTAATAATTATTTTTTGAAACTGACAAATCACAGTTTAAGATATTTTTTATAAGTTGGGAAGTGCCTCAAACTTTTTTTAATCACATCAAGGGAGCCTCAGACTAAAAAAGTTTGAGAACCATTGTAATTATAGTTCGACTTTGTTTTACTGTGTACTTTGTGAAATTGAATTTACAATTATAAGAGAAATGTGTAACAACCACAAAGCTAGATAAGAAACTTTCCATAAAAATCTATCTATGATATTGGACAATTCCTATAACTTCATGATTGCTACATATTTAATATTTCTGTCACAGTCACTCAAACACTCCCATCTATCACGTGCAAGAAATTTGAGGCTGTGGTAAAACTGTGTAAGTTATTTAATACACAATTAATTGGGGCAAGTACAACTTGTCACATTTTCTGTGTGTGTTTGTAGGGGAGATCCTGGCAATGGTAACAGAAATCGTGCATGTGTTGGGATGCTGCTTAGGTGTCTTTTTTTATCCTCCTACAAATGTGTTGCCAACATGAATCACTATACTACATGTAAGCTCCTTTTAGATACATGTGCTATCCCACTGTAACAAAATAGTTTTGAGAACAGATAATTACTCAAGTTTTATTCACAGAATAATTTCTTGTAACTGTAAAAAAGGAAATTGACTAAGCTCTAGCCTACACTAATACAACTACTATTTTTTCCAATGAAGCGGACACTCTAGGTAATTAAAAAACAAACAAAAAAAGTGCTCACTAAAACATTAGCTGTTTAGTTTTTGAGCATCACCCAAAACTTACAGTTGCATTATAAGACAAAATACACAATATTACTTGGAATATGAGCACAATGCATGACCTAGGGGTAATGGAAAACAAAAACTATACTGTATCTGATTTACTTAAACAAGGTTTCATATAAAAAATTCAGCAGTACAAACAAAACTGATGGCAAAACAGGAGCATGCCACACTTAATTATTAACTATTTCTTTGAGTATGATGCTGTGTGTTTTTTTGTCAAATACAAACTTTTTTAAATATCTGATCCTTTGTTAACGGTAAGGTGATAAAAAGTTCAAGGGAAAGTCTATTATCACAACTGATAAAAAAAGTGGCGTTAGAATAACGTGTAGATGCTGAAAATTTCATTGCACCGATATATTTAGAACTACAGAAGCTATACAAGAGCAAAAGGAATACCAAAACGCAGTTACCTCTTTCGGTGAAAGCTCCTTCTGCCCTTTGTTGAATGCGAGAAAACAGCTCTCCCCCTTCCATGCTAGTGCATGAAAAACAAAAAGAGACAAGTCAGAAACTCATACCTGATTTACACACTTCACTAACAACACTTTTACAGACCTGTATTTACTTAGATTAAAAAACTTGTCAGATTTTTTCACTAAAACTAAATAAGAAAATATTACTAAGTCTATTAAATTGGTTATGTCCCAACTTACACATATGAATAATACAGAGTTGGTAACCAAGCTACCTATTATTTTTGAAGTTTATATTAGCTTCATATTACCGAGATTGGCTTGAATGAGAATGTGCAATATGGACAGCTTCTGTCATGGACTTTTTGTTACAATAAACATTTCTGCAGCATCCAAGTTACCATAACATTGATATGATGGGTTTTCTTTCAAGTGTTTTTTGTTATTCAAGCACCAGAGGAAACCATCTCACCCATCTCTCACACAGAGATGGGATCAAAAGTTTCAAGTTTGACAAATTTTATCTCAGTATTTTTTAACTATGACAAGTTTCCCCTTTGATGGACATGATGTGTCTGAGGATTGAGTTTGTATCTTCTTCAAGGAATGATTGGAAGGCCATCATAAATGGTTTTATATACACCAGGCAAAGAGCCTCTAACGGTGAAAAGTGGTCCCACTGCCACTGCATGCAACAGCCTTCATGCTAAGGTCACCTAAGGATCAGTTCTGACGATCAGCTTGGCAAAATTTAGGGAGGGGGTTGAGGAGCACAACCCTCTCTCCTCCTTCGATGAGGTGAAAGCTTCCATTGTTGTTGGTGGGGTTAAAAGACGGGTGGAAGAAAAGCCAAATGTTTAAACATCCGTTACCACCCAGCAGGTGATCGGAGAAACTGACAGTGAGACAGCCATGGTGCTGTCAAGGGTGGATACCCTGAAAAGGACTATCAAAAGAGTAAGGCTAAAGAATCAAGCCTCTCTACCAAAAGCCCTCGCTGACACTGTTAATGACACCCATAACCCCTGTAACACATCATAATACAAGCCTAGACATCATCTCACCCCCATAACATTATGTAATTTTTGAATGGTCTTCAAATGGGTGTATAGTTTACAATCTATTTTTTATTATTATTGTCACCAATCAATTTTATATTTAAAAAAACTGCCATCCACCAAAATCAGTACCCATAACAAAAAACTGCCTTGTCACAAAAAACAATGTAATATGAATGCACCCGTCACAATGTGGTGGTAACTAAACGTCCGGATCTTGAATTGGATACTCTCACTATACACCACAGATACATAAGCATCTTTATATCAAATACGATCAAAGCTAAATTTTAAGAAAGGAACTGACCATTCCATCACAACAAGAAGACATTTTTGACCACTGAAGACATTTTCATAGACTGCTATTATATTGACAATGTGGCAGCAATCACTAGCCCTCCAGTGAAGTTCCATCTCTCTTCTAGATTTAGGACTATCTTTTAATACCTATAATAAAGAAAACAATACAAACACACAACTTTAATGTACATAGTTTTTGAGTTGAATAATTATACTGACTGATCCCCTTTATTAGATCAGCTAATCTTTATTAGAAATATATATTATACTCAACTGACATAAAAAATATAAAAAATTTGGAGCACACACTCAAAGCCTATGTAAGTAAAATTATACAGAAAGTTATTTAATCAATCTTTCTGACATGTACAGAAAGGAAAACTTTAATACTTCAGTAAGTAAACTAAGGCCTTTACACAAAAAGTAAAACATTGTTAGTGTTATGGCAGCATTTTTGTGGTAGCAGATGTGTGTGTTTTACGATAACTATGACCCTTTTTTCCAACAAAAACTATTTCCACAGAAAGTTTTCCAAAGTTCAAGGTTATGTTTTGTATTAAAAGGATGTAATCTAAATTTAAAAATTTTACATATCTAATTTTATATTTGAAGGATATGCAACAATTACCAGAAGAAAAAACAGAAAAACTAATAGCATCTATTAAAGCACCTAGTAATGAATGTAAAATATGAAGATTCATGTCATGAAAGATATTTTCATATTATTAAGAAAAAACGTTATACAACACATTTGGAAATGTACACCATTTGTACATGCATATAGTTTTTCATGTGTTAGATAAAAAATATTAAATTGGCCTAAAAGATATGAAAATTGAGGTGAGAAATATTTCAATGGAGAAACAACTTAACATATAAACTCAAATAACAGTGCCGAACCATTGTCACATGTTTATTAAAAGGTTACTTTTGCTGTTGTTGTTTGTTTATTGTTAAAACTGAAGGTTTTTACAAGTCTTTGTTCCTAGTGTAAAGTTAAAATTAAAAAAGTAAAATCACCACAAACTTGGTTCCAACAAATCTAAACTCATTGACGAGACTAAGACACAAAAAGAATCACCACAACTTTCTGCATCCATTTTAAATTGAAAATAAAAGTTTGCATAGAACTAGTTCCCGAGGAAAAGTACTCACTAAATCAGTGTTTCTTGCAAGTATAATGAAACTAAATATTTCAACAATGCATTACCACTTTGTGGTGATTTTTTATAAACAGGTTGAAGTAGAATTTAGTGAAGGTTAAATTTCTTTTTAATGTTAAATAAGTTATATAAAATATACACCAAGAAAAAAATTAAAACTTTTTTTTATACTGTCAGGGGTTAAAACAAACTATTGGTAGTGTCTGTAGCTAGATATTTTAAAATTAAACACTGGTAGTGACTGAACAGTAATTTTATTTTTATCACTTTGCTAACAAATAGTTGTTCGTTTTTAAAAAAATCAAACTGAAAATACTTGTTACAATAAAAAAAAATTGCTTGAATATATCTAGAGTTAAAAAGTTAAATGAAAACTTAAGTGGTAAATAACAACATGCACATACAGAGCTAAAATACTACAAGTAAAAACGATGTTTTACTGTTAAATGTATGACAACATGGAAAAAATGTCTACGTGATTTACAATTTATGGTGTGTATTTTCAAACGTTTGACAGTCTGCTAGGCCTAAAAAAGTGTCAGCCTAAAATGTTACAGAGTTTAATTGGCAATATTTCATAATTTCTGTTCTATTTGTTACAGTATGTTTCCTCATAATAATAATAATAATAGGGGTTTTTCTAGGAAAATCTCGTAACTACCCAACCACGATATTTGTTTCTGTTAAATAGCACCAGTCACGTCACCACTTACATACGTAATAAGCTACGGTAAACAACAATGTCGTTAGGATAGGCGCTTTGTGCACTAACGAGCACTTGTTATCAACGGGAAATAATTATTTTTGAATACAACACCCACACATCCCGATGAAAACACTTTCTTCTCGGGAACAGGGATTTAAGCTGGACTGAATTTCAGATCCAAAATTTAAAGTTAAACGTGAATTACGTCTTTCTTGTTAAATTGTGTAACGTATTCCAATTTTGACAATCTCCATTCACGGCCCTTATTAAATAGCAAAGAACACGATGATTAAGACAATGGTAAATAAACAATTTGAGCAAGCACACTGATGTAACGTATTCCAATTTTGACAATCTCCATTCACGGCCCTTATTAAATAGCAAAGAACACCATGATTAAGACAACGGTAAATAAACAATTTGAGCAAGCACACTGATGTAACGTATTCCAATTTTGACAATCTCCATTCACGGCCCTTATTAAATAGCAAAGAACATGATGATTAAGACAACGGTAAATAAACAATTTGAGCAAGCACACTGATGTAACGTATTCCAATTTTGACAATCTCCATTCACGGCCCTTATTAAATAGCAAAGAACACCATGATTAAGACAACGGTAAATAAACAATTTGAGCAAGCACACTGACTAATGCGTTAACAAAAGCAAGCGATTCAGGCTCCACTTGAAACAAGGATCTAATCTCTGGAAATATCAAAATCTGATACAACACTGAATAAAAAGTTACTTAAAAAACAACGACTAACACAGAATATGGTTATATTTTAACGGATATTAACTAAATAGATGAATAATTATTTATACTATCAATTTTAACCTTTTTTTTTCCCCGTTCAAATAAAGAACTATATATTAACTTTGCATAAAAAGATTACTGGAAATAGAAATAACACCAAAATAAAAATATTAAAACAGGCTTTCTTTTAATATAGAAATAAATCAGCCACAATTTTTTTATGTAAACAACCTTACGAGAATGGACCAGAAATTCAGAAAAATTGTCCTTTTGCTACTGCAAGTAACACTAATGACAATTCCGCAGAAATTTTGATATTAATTAAAAGCTCGAGATATTCATTCAAGTGCGTTCCAAATTCTTGGGATAGGGCGCTTTTTAATGCCAGATGCGAGTGTAAAATGTCGAAAACATTTATAAAAAGGGGGGGGGGTGATCATTCATTACCAGTAACTGAAAAGTTTCACCATAGACTGAACATAGGTTTACGTCTAGACATATACGGCATAATACGTACACAATGTCAAACACCAAGAGTGAGAGAGGTGTCTGAAGATATTTTTTCGATGTGTCTGTTGGTCTTTTAAACGATAACTCTGTTGAAGCTAATTCAAAATTACCTTTTGTTCTTGTATACACGTCATAAGTAATTATTAAGTTATAAATTAATGTAATTAATTATGACATTTGCAATTTTAGAAATACTCGGGGATAGAAATAAAATTATATTTACACGAAGGAAAGGTATCAGCAAGATTACATTACCTCGTGTAAACCTGCATTTCCTCGTGAATTGTTTTTTTTTTCATTTACTCCAGTTTTATTGGTCATAACTAAATGAATACGGATGAACCACGCATTTCCGATCGGGAAAACCAACTAAAAAAGATGAAATTACTCAAGCAAAGTTAGTTTTATCGGGAATATAGTATGTCGATTCCTGAATAATGTAAATGTCAATAAATATAACATGTTTCAAGCCAAGGTAATTACCATGTACGAGGTATAAATGTCTAAATATTACAGTTTAAAATAGTTAACCTACTACATATGGGGTATATAAAACCTTAGAAGTATTGAAATTGGAAGGTGTGTATGTGTTGGAAAATAAGTAATTTCCCACATAGGGGGTGGGGGTAAGTTTTTTAAGTGTGGAACAATCGTGTATCTCCTAAACATAGTGAATAAATGGCCCGGGACTAAATTTCTGGGGGGCACCAATAAAATCGTCAGGAAAATAACACTGGTGCGGAAAAGCATAACCAAATTTGAGAAAAGTTTAAATCGATCAGTACAAAAACAAAACCGGTGACAACTGTTTATCTCACGCACGTACAAGAAACTGACTTTGTCAGTTCATTCTCTTAATAAAGACTCGTATACTGCTTCTACTCGTTTAATATTATATGAAACGTGTAACTGTATAGACAAGTATTTCAAAATTGACGCAATTACGTGGATTATAAGAATTTCACACATTGAGCAAATGACATACCTAAGAAGCAAAAGCCAGAATTTATATGCAAGCACAAACAGGTCGTAAGGATGAGAGCATATACACCTACTCCGGTTGCTGGTTTTTGAACAAATGTTCCTTTGTTAAAGCAAATACAACGCGTTTGTTTATAAATGAATGAAGTGTGAAGTCAGGAAATAAAAATAGCAACACCTTCCCTTGCAGCGCTTTGCTAGAGTTATCCACACCGAGTATATTACACCTTTCTCTCGCAGCGCTTTGCGAGTATATTACACCTCTTCCCTTGCAGCGCTTTGCTAGAGTTATCCACACCGAGTATATTACACCTTTCTCTCGCAGCGCTTTGCTAGAGTTATCCACACCGAGTATATTACAACTTTCTCTCGCTGCTCTTTGCTAGTTATCCACACCGAGTATATTACACCTTTCTCTCGCAGTGCTTTGCTAGAGTTATCCACACCGAGTATATTACACCTTTCTCTCGCAGTGCTTTGCTAGAGTTATCCGCACCGAGTATATTACACCTTTCTCTCGCAGTGCTTTGCTAGAGTTATCCGCACCGAGTATATTACACCTCTTCCCTTGCAGTTTTTTCCCATGTACATAATAAACAAAGACAATGTTCTCGGTTTATTTCTCAATATTTTAGTGTATATTTCAAACCAATAAAAACCAGATTAACTGTTCTTATGTACCAAAAACTGCTTTCTTCCGTTGTGTTTATTTTCTTTATTGAAGTTGCTACACACGAAATAGGCATAAATCCAGATTGATTTAAGCTAAAACAATGCAGGTTCAGTAAATTACAAAACCGTTTTTGTTCTTTAACAAGCCATCTCTGACTCAACAGCAGAAAATGACTAAATGTACTTCCGCAGTCCGCAAAACGGCCGAAAGTGTTCTGTTTCAAGGGTAAATAAAACCACATTCTTTTTGTATTTTGAAGTTCATGTCATGCTATATTGTAGTCTACTGAGTGCATAATTCTTCTCGTGATTCATGACATGCGCTCGTTTTACTAACGCCACGACAGCACAAACT